TTGGCAAGTGGCACATATTCTCTGTATTTGAAAGTTGGTACATTCCTAAGGGAACTGCTTACAAAGATGACAAGCCATCTGTCCCTACTTCTGGTGTTTTCTCTGCTTCCACATCCATAAGCTAAGGCAGAAATCATGTTTTCAACTCAAAAGCCTAATTTGGGCTGTAAATTGTAGGTTTGTAATGATCAAATCTAGTTTAAGCCAGGCAGTGAATATTTTTGACATTGCCCTTTGCTGGTAGGAATTTCTTCTTCTAGCACTGACGTCTTGCTCTGTTACTGCTCTGTTATTTGCATTTAATATGGTATATTATCACATCACCAAGCCCACATTGTGGACTCCTGCTTGCTTCACCCAGATCCAGGATTATTTACAGGTACCATTCTGCTGCCCTGGCTGCTCTCTCCCAGTGGATATTCTATGATAATAAATGTGGGCAGTGTAACAAAACCATGCTGCAGAATATTGCTTTGATTAGCAAGGGTGCATTGGAGAGTTACACACAGAGACACCTGGAATGAAGAGCAATAAAGGGAAAATATTATTTCATTTCTCTGCAGATACATTGTGTGGGCAGAGCTGAGCCCTCCTGCAGGCTCTGAGCCCTCACAGCTGACTGTGTGACCAGAAGAAACGAGCCTGGACTCGATGCAGCAGGCAAGGAAGGGGTTTTGGAATGAGGCATTTTCCTTGGGCAGGATGAGGGGAGAAGAAGTCCAGCAGAAGGCAAATCAGGGGCATCCCAGGTACTGTGCCAGGTAAAGACCAGGAGCTACTCAGCCACAGGAGGGTCCAGCTGCCAGCACAGACAAGTTCCCTGCAAAAGGTTTTTCTACTTTGCTCCCAAATCCATTCTTCACACTGTTTTTCTTAACAATTCCCAGCAATTAAGGTTGCAAAAAATTTCCCTTTCCTTCCCCATCCTACCATCAGCTTCAATTTTAAATAAATTTGGTGATCTTCAAAATCCTGACCCCTGCTAGTGAAAGCACAGGATGCCTCAAGCTTTCCTTAGGGCTGTGGATGATAAAGGACCAGTGTTAAACTCATTTAATTTATGCCTATTCTGAAAGAGTTTGTCTTTCTACAAACTTCCAAAGTTTCACTGCTGGCCAAGCCCAAACCCACAATTTTTTTAGCCTTCAGATTATATTAACTTCTACTGAACTCATCCCTAATTGCTTTACTCTCAGTGCTTCCAGTACAACATCTGATATGATTAGCTAGGCCATTAATTATCTTGTGCTTTAACTATGAACCTCCTGCTGAAATCCAAGGAAAGGTCAATGCATATCTGGAGAGAATCATACCTAACAAGGTACATTTATCAGCAAATTAGGCACACTGTGAGTTCAGCACACACAGACTGTCCAAAGGGTTTTTACTCCTGTGCTAATGGTACATTAGATTTTTTTGCTAAGGATATTTGCTTGTAGTCAACAGGAGATTGCCTGCCTAAAGACCTCCCATGGACATTAGTGAGCAAAAATCCTTTGTACATTATAACAATGACTCAGATTAAAGAGTGCAGAAGATATTTGTTAAGTAATCCAGTCTGCACAGATACCAAATGGCACCTGAGGAGCTGCTGTTGCAGACAGTAAGTCTGTTACATATTTTCACCTCAAATAATAAAAAAAATCATTGTTGCCACATAAACCTCCCAGGGAAGAGCTTGACAAGAATTTGCTTCCAGCAGTGTTGCTGGCCTAGGTTCCACAGCTCCAAGCTGTCACCTCTGCTGTGGCTGAGAAGTTCTTTGGTTCCTCCTGAACCAGGAGCTGATCCAGAGGAAAAAGCATTTTTTTCTTTCTGAACTACTTTTAACCTGAGTCCAGGTCACCAAGCAGCCCCCCAGCTGCACAGACACATCCAAGCTGGCAACTGAGTGATCAAAATAGGGAAAGAGCCTTGTAGGGTGATGTGACTACTCCAAATATGTTAAAACACCACCTGAGTGATTGCAGAACTAATTACCAAGTTCACATTAGAGTAAAAGGAGCCTGGCACGAGCCCTTTGAGCACAGCACAGATACATTTCCATCTCTGCCTTGAATCTGCTGTGTCAGTGGTCTGCTGCAGCTGGCATTTTGAACTTAATGTCATTTAAAAGAAAGGTACCACATCAAGGTCATATTGAAAATAAATTGGGGACATGATAAAATCACTCAAGTGGACTTCAGTTCAATACACCTTTGAGGGTTTATAACTTGTATAATTTCTCTTGGAGGAAGGGTTAAGCTTGAGATCTATTATCAAAGCAAAGGACAAAAGGCTGAAGAAGCTGCCCATATTCTGCACATGTATTTGGCACTTTTGGCACTTATTTCCTCTTCCAGTTTATGAGTAATAAAACATCTGGGTGCACAGAGCAGTTTTGCACAGATGGCTGAGCTCAGGAGGACTTGGGAGCCAAACCCAGTTTATTGCAGCTCCTGCTCAGGCAGTTCTCTGTGCCCAGGCACTGAGGCTGCAGCGAGCTCCTGCTTCACAGGTTACAGGGCAGAGGCTCTCAGCCCCTTTGCCAATCAAGCACTGGTCATACAGGAGAAATCCCTCTTCTGTCCTCAGGACTTTTCAAACAGGTGCCTCATTACATAAACACATAATGTGTACATATGCATTTGTACCTAATTGTTAATTCTATTTCAGTTTGTAGTTTCTGGTAATAGCTATTTTGATGCTGCTGTCAGGCACCACTGTGTTCTAAGTGTTATCTCCTGAGAGGATTTCACAAATCACTCAATATGAGATGTCACCACACCTCAATCAATAAACTTGTATCATGACCCTATTAACAAAGAGGCTTCCAGTGGCTGAAACCACATTTATTTGTACAAAGGATGGCCTGAAAAGCAAAACTAATCTTGTTTATTGACAGAGCTCAGCTCTGTGAAAGAATAGTCCCTTAACAAATCATTTAGCCAAGATATTTTGCAGAAATGCTGCCACCTTCATGAAGGACTTTCGGAGGTGATTTATTTCTGCTCTCCAGCTACAACTCCTGGTTTTCACTGTCAGTATTTTCTCCACATGCAGCTTCCACCGAGAAGCAAAGGGGGAAAACCAGGGGAAGTATTTGCCATGACAAAGCTGAGCTCCCCTTTTCCTGGCTATTTTACATGGGCAGAAATCTGAGACCTGATTCTCCCTCAGATCCCTTCTCCAGCTCCCTTCCACACACCACCTTAGACCATCCCTGGTGGCTGCTAGAGCTAGAGCTGATTATTTAAATATTCAGAGCTGTATTTTCTCCGTTCTTTGTGCAGACAGAAAAGTGGGAACAGAACAATCATACCTGAACATCCTGCAATGCAGAGAACACCATGAACCCCCTAAGCTACCAGCAGATGAAGAACCAAATGTTCCACAACACCAATAACAAACCTCAGCTTGGGAAAACTTGACTTCTCACTACACTCAAGTGAGCTCCTGGTTTCTGAATAAGCCCTGTGCTACTCATGCACTCAGCAGTCTCGAGCATAAACATCGCTTTGGTTTTATTCATGAGGCCATTTTAACAAGATGACATTAAAAGTTATTTGAACTGGTTTTTGGCAGAAAGTGAGCTACAAGGTCAACTGCTTCATTTGTTCTCCTCTCAGGCCTTTGTTCTCTATAACCATCTCTTACACAGACACACTTCACTTTTGATTGCCTGGCTTTATATGGATCTGAAGCTGGTTTATAGACATACAAAAGATGTTTCTTTTACAGCCTCCATATGTAAAGGAAGCCTGAGAGTCCTTCATTTATGAGCCATCAAGCTGAAAGCACCACTCCTCCTGCACTTTGGGGAACTGCATTTTACCTTCAAGGGGGTGCATTAGGTGGGGTTCTCTGCTCTCCAAACAGCTCTGCTGAGTGCCAGGAGCAAACCCTGTATTCATGGCCACCTCTGCTCAGGTCACTGAAAATTTCCACTGTGGAAAAAAGACAAATACTTTGGTCTTTGGGATCTGCAACAGAGGGCTGAGCAGTTTGTGGTTTTCTGTCCATAGGTGGCTTTGCAGTAAGGAATAAACCCTAAAAGGAAGTGCTGGGTGATGGTTGTGCTGTCACACAGGTCAGGGGGACCTCAGCAGGAAAGCAGCTCTGCAGGGACAGCCCTGGGTCCTGGTGACTGTGGGTAGCATCTACATCCCTGCTTTTCTTCCCTGTTTGCATCACAGAGCAGAACACAGGGATCCCATATTCCCAACTTTTCTGCTCACGCCCCACATGCAGGGCCCCGTGTGGGTGCAGCAGGTCCCAGCTCACTGGTCCCACAGCCTCCCTCCTGGCAGACCCCCAGGAGCTGTGTGGCACCCAGAGCCCATCTCCTTCTTCCCTTCACCCCATTCCTGCCCCCAAGGGAAAATGGGACATCCCTGGTAAATCTGCACCTGAAGGAAATGAACTCCCCCCTCAGTGGCTCTGTGCAAATGCCCTGCAGGCTGCCTGTAATCATGTTACCCTGGAGTGCTTCCATCAGCCTTTGGGAAGTTAATCCTGATTTACAGTTTTGAAAATCAAGTCTAGAGCCAAGCTCAGAGTTCAATGGTTGCTGTTAGAAGAGTGGGAAAAAAAATCCCAGACTGTTCCTATTAAATCCAAGTAGTTGCCAGTGATTCCACCATTTGGATTAAGCACAGGTTTGCCAAGAGCACTGAAATGGGAACAGGCACGTGAAATAATATTTCCCATTATTAAACAGAAATTAATGGGATTTTTTATTTCAGCTCTGGGGAACACACCCTAATTCAAAGGGATGATTAAAAATAATAGTCCATTAATACAGCTCTGCCCCAATCCCTGCTCCTATTTGGACACCCAGTCTCCACCAGCAGCACCCTGGCACTGATCATTTTGTAGGAAATATGAAATGCCAGATTTTATTATTCATCACATGTTAAAAAAAAATAATCACATACAGGAAGGAATCAGGGAGAATATTATTATGGAAATAGCATTTTAGACAGAGTTTGTAAAACATTTGTCATATTGCAGAGACAAAGTTATAAATATTAATTTAACATTCACTAGGAATGGACCAGGACAACTTCAGCACAGTTACTGGAAATTTTCTGTGTCATGCAAGGCATCTGCCAGCACAAGGAGGAATTATTTGACTGTGCTGCTTTTATGAACAGCTGTGAGAGGAGGTGTTCCCAAGGGACAGGAACATTCCTACTGGCAGAAGCAGGGAGTCCTGCAACAGAGGAAAAGAAGCAGTGGATAGTGGAAGTTTTCCAAAAGAAAAAAAGTTTTCAATAAAAAATTCGCTTCTGTCCAAATGGGAATTTTTTGGGAAGGTAATGGATTTCTTACAGAGGCTCTGATTTTTTTGCTTGGAATTAATTCATAAAAATCTTCACCCTGTTCCATAGATATTTAGATTCCATCTTCTAGACTTTTTTTTTTTTTTTAATGCTCACAATAACTTCAGCACAGATGAAAATATAGCAGGGAAAACTAAATTTTTGTATGTGGATTGACTAATTAAAGTGCAATTAGCCTTATCTGTTTAATTATGCATTATAATACATACAAAAAAACCATGAAAATTTACTGGATATACTGGGAGCTGTGCTGTGTATGGTGTGTGTTGCAGCACACAAGGAAGATTTCTGCTGAGGAAGCAAAGTATTCATTTGTAGCAGATTTAAAATCACTCTATAAACTCATTTTATTTGTTTTATGTAACTATAGGTTACACTCATTTTTCTTTCCTTTATGTCTAAACTTCCATTTGCTTTTAAGGTGTAAGAATGGCTCATTACTGTAGTTGCAGCCCATTTTTTGTTTCTATAACTAGAACTCATTTTTATGCCATATTCCCCAACCAATTTCTGCACTCCAGATGCTCCTCATTCCTGCAGCATTCTCCTGCTCCCCCTTCCATTGCAAGGCAGCTCCTTGCCTGCCAGGTCCCCCTGCAGCAACTCCTCTCCCACACCCATAAAGTCTGACTGCTCCTTGGTGCTGCTGTCCCCTCCCAAGGGGATGTGTCACAGTCCAGCACCTTCTTAAAAATGCTATTTAAGCAAACTCATCAGATTGCTCATGTGACAGAGCTGATAAATACAAATGTATATAACCCTCCACTCTGATATTTAATATGGAAATGAGGCCAGTGGTCATGGTGTTGGTGTTGCATATACATATATATATATTAAAAAAATTTGTATTTTAACTAACAAAGGACATTGTAAAGCCTACAAAGTTCTGTCTGACAGGTTAATTTATAAAGACACAAAGACATTTATTTGTCTGTTTTAGATAAAAAGTTTCCTTTTTATCCAAACTTGCCAAGTTTCTCCCCAGAGCAAGAAGGATTTTGGAAAGCCAGTTCAGTGGGAAGCCCCAAGACTCACTAGAGGGCCACAGCCCATGGCAGGCAAGAGATGCCACGGGAAGTGCTGGGTCTTGAGAAGGCAAACAGGAAAATCTTGTTGTCCTCAGCTATCAAATGTGAGAGTACAAGAGAAGACAGAGATGTTATTCTTGAAGATGCAGAGAATGAACAAGGCCACAGATACGAGCCCCACCCAGAAAATTTCAACTGTGTATCAGGAAAAAAATTGCAATCCTAGTAGTCAAACATTACAACAGGGCCAGAGAGGCAAAGAATCTCCAGCTTTGAAGCAGGGAAGTTGGACTAAGCAACCCTCCAAGCTATTTTTTGTGATTAAATACAAAACCTTGTTGAAAAGACCCACTGGAAATAAGGTAATTTTAATTACAGCCATCAATTTATATACACAATAATGTGTATTTTACATATATCAAGGAAAAAAAACATACTGCATTTCAAAATTTGTTTACTGCAATAACAGAGGCAAATAGTTAGGAATAAGTATAAGTCACTAATATTAAGGAAAGCCACAATGTGTGTGTAAATTGAAGCCAGAGGAAAGCTACAGAAGCTCAGTACTCAGAGACATTAATTCCAAGGGTTTCACAACACCTAACTCACCTCAACCTCATTACAAGAAAATGGAGTCTGGATTGCAGGGCTGGATCTAGATCATTATCCAGCACCCATAAGCTTCAGGTTCCTATTTACAGTAACAGTTCTGAGATGTTAAACTGCAAGGTCAAGGTAACTGTTTTAGTTCTCATAAATGCAGCCTATTTTCACTAAAATTGCCTTAATTAACTTAGAATAGTCTGTGATTCTATAATTACCAGATCAAAATGTCATTTTAAATCATTCCTCATTTCAGGATATGTGAACACTGAACTAGCTGTAACAAATTTCTAATATTTTCAAAGTCAAAAGTTCATTTTTACTTAAAAAAAAGCCACAATAAAACTCTTAACAGAGGCTTAAAAAGGTCTTTATAAAATAATCTCCATCACACTTACAATAGTAAGAAAATTATTCTGGTTGCTAGTTTTTAGTAAATATGAACTGGTTTGTGTAATCTGTATTAAAGATGGTTATAACTTCAGTTCACATTTCATTTCTTAAAGGGGAATGAACAAATGTGTCAAGAACAGTAGATTATTGCTGTTTCTCATCAAGTCCTTTTTACTAAGGACATGCTGCCTTGGTAGGCAAAGCATGTCTGGCAGCCAGCTGAGACAGGAGAGCTGAAGGAGAGAAGTTATGACTTGCATGCCAAAAAACCTTTCTTCAATCACCTTATATTTGGCAATGGTACAACTGAGCTGATTTAAGATCAAAACTGTGTCATTCCATCCATCTCCTGAATGACAGTCCTGATCGTCTCATAACTTAAGTTTGCTTGAAGTGACACAAGAAGGTAGAATCCAAGCAAGTTCTGGACTGGCAGGAAAAAAGCCTCTGATGTTTATCCTCTCATGTGCAACTCTGAAAATACCAGATGTTCTTCAGAGGGTTTTTCACCAGGTCTGCTGGAGCAACGGGTATGGCTGTGCAGAGAGAACAGAACATGGACATATTGGAAATAGGAAATCTATCAGGTTTTCTATTCCTGCAGTAGTACTGATCAAATCAAATATGCCACTATTCAATTTCAAGAGGGTTCAAAAGGATCTAAAAATCTGTACATGTTTTTAATCAAACTTTTCATACAGTAAGCCTCTGAGATGTACTTTCTGTGGACACAAATTGGCAATTATAACTGCAAACAGAAAAAGCTTACAACTGCTAAAAGGGTGTCATTCATTATACACTTTAACCAGCTGTTAGATTCTTTAGCTTTTGATAATAAATTATCCTAGTGAGGATGGTGACAGTTTATATGTCCAAGGTTTAATCTGCTGGTGCACTTCTTTCCATTGTTTATATGAAACCTTACACTACTATTTCACCAAGAGCAGCTTCTAGAAGAGCTATCAAGTAGTAAATCAAGTTACTCATGCAAAATAAAATGGATGCTGCTGTCAGAGGCACCACTGGTAATAATTACCTTCACACTGCCACCTTTCACATGTGAAGGTCTTAAAAGAAGAGAAAAAAAGAGAAAAACCCACATGACTGCTAACACTGGGGGAGAATTTTCCACTTCAGTACTTCCAGATTCCTTGTGATGTGATAATATTTAACACAGCACATGTAAAGACATTTCTTGTCATGTGGAAAAGATCTGGTCTTGTGGTGTGCAGCCTTCCCAAGACACCACTTCAGTGCATTCTGCCCTCCCATTTAAGCATTTAAGCATTAAGATACCTCCCTCTGCTATCTGAATCCCAGTCTCAAACACTGTCCAGTCAAGCCAGTGGTGGGGGATATTCTGAGCAATTCCTGATGGATTAACAGACTTTACAGACTGTGCTTTGCTGTGTGACATCCCGATAAACTGTCCCCCAACAGTGGAGTTCTCAAAGAAAAAACCACAATTATCCCAGTGTCTGCTGGCTGCTGAGCAACAAACTCCTCTGAGCTCTGCACTGATAAATCAGCGCATCCCATTCCCCCCTGCAATGAGGCTGAAAGGCATTCCCTTTGCAATGAGATTCCTATGATTTCAACCAGAGCCATCATAAAGCAATAGAAGTTGAGAAAAAATTCTGCAGCTGTGACTTGAGACTGTGCAAAAGCCATTGTGATGACTGATACACCACTGTCAGAGCTGTGCAGCCAGCTGGTGCCTTTTCCTTTTACTTCTCCATGCTTTAAAGAAATGCATTTGATCAGCCTTGACATTTTATTTTTTTTTTTAAAAAAGCTGCTATCAACTGACCATCAGAAGCATTTTGTTACAAAAGAGTACTAAAACTGTATGGTAGCAATGAAAGACACCTAAAATATTTCTCTGAAATGTCAAGCATTTCTCTTCATGCTGGGTATTTATGTACCTTGACATTATCAGCTCTTCTGAAAATGGAGAAATACATCAGAAACTATCTTGTATGATTCCAAAAAGGCAAGGTGCATATTATTTCTTCACTGCCTCTCAAAAGTATTTTCTTTTCTGTAACAACCAGTGATGCAAACTGGTACAATACAGATCCTTAGTTTGGAAACCTGTATCTTAAAATAAAAATAACTGCAAGAATATTTCAGATCTAAGATACTCAATTTTAATATGTATTTAATTTCTTTTCAAAGCAAATTTCCATGCTGTGTCATTTCACTTGTTCTACTGAAATTCTTAATCTATACAAAGATAATAAAATACTGACCTATATAAGGGCAATATCAATAGCATGGGGGTTTTTTGGGGTTTTTTGTTGTTTTTTTATCAACAGCATCAATTACCAATAGCAATGTTTATCACCTTCTTAGGAGATAAACAGCTTTTTGCTGGCAAATGTGCACCGTTGTTCAACCAATCCAGTATTTACACTGTACCAGTGAAACACTTTTGGGGTTCCTTAATCTACTGCACTGTACATAAAGTTTCATCATATCCAAGTTGACCAAATTTTCCTGTTCTTGAACATTCACTGAACAACAGAACTGAAGGAGAAGCATAAGAAAGAGATCACACTTTGGTTGTATTTGTAGTGGCAATTATTATCCAGTACCAAAAGCACTAACATCATATATCTTCTGGAAATGAAAGGAAGAAGAAAAAGGCTTCCTCTGCATTCAAGTTCAGAAATTGTTTTTGCAATCAAAATGACATTTAATGGCTGTCTGCTTCATAATTTAAACTTCAGAGGAGAAAGGGAAAGTAAAGACATCTGAGATGTAGCTGAATTTGATATGAGCACAGAAGTTACATTAGAGCACACTTACAAATTCATGTTTTTTATACATCAATGCTGTGGCTGCTCAGGATTGATATTCATGGTCCTGTATATCTCTTTGAGAAACAGCAAGGCAGTGTCTTCTGATCCCCTACAAAGAATGAAATAAATAAAACAAAAGCAAAAAAGGGAAGAAAAAAAAAAGTAAAAAGTTAGTTCAGTATGGTCCACCTTCTGATTTTCCTAAGTCACATTCCATCCTATTTCAGCTTTCCAAAGAGTTTGCACAACCTCTTGGCCCAGTATTTATTTTACATGAACACAGCCTTACCTCCACCAGCTTCCTTCAAGCTGTAATTCTACACAAGTTCTGCTATCAGCCCTAGCCTATGCATTTACCTTTTTTCTAGTGCATTTCCTCCTCAGGTCCTCCCTAACTTCCTACGCTGCAACTCCAAACCCCCTCCTCTATCCTCTTCTTTGATGTTACTTCCTCATCTTAATCTCCTCAAATAATGCATCACTTTTTATCCTGAATATATTCCACACTTCATTCTACTAATTTTATCCCACTCCATTAATTAGCCCAGTTCCAACAGCAATATTCTAATTCTTCTCTAACTGGCAGGCCCTTAATTGTAAGCAGACTGTGTTAAACACCCATAGTCTTCCTCTCTTGCTTACCACTAAAATGTTAGATAGCTCTCAAATAATTTAAAGATTAGTATCATTCAAGTGCCACGTTTCCAAGTGGATGTTTTATCTCCTCTTTTCAAAAATCAAAGCTTCAAGCTGTCTGAATCTAAAGTTAACATGAACAGACTTAATTTTCTTCTTCATCTATAAAATGCTATTTAAACAATACTAACACATAAGACAATACTAACATAAAAACCCCAATGTTAAACAGGCAAATTTTAACAAAGTTCCAGAGCTGCAGGAGTTGTGAGATGAGGGCAGCCTCCTGTGCTTTTTAAAATAAAATATATAGGGAGCCAGTAAGAGAGATTTAGATGATCAGAACTGTGATCCTCCAAAGGATGTGAGGAACATAATTTGCAGAACACCAGTACAGAATTAAACATGCAAGCTAAGGGAATACATGTATATTCCAAATTGAGCACAGACATTTATTGACGGTCTCTGCATTATATGAGCAGCAAACAAGCAAGCAGAAGGTTCAACACAGAAGCTCCAATCTCTCCAACACTCAGAGCATTTCATTTAAAGCTTTTCCCACCATTCCTCAGGAAAAAAATGCTCTCCTATTTGGGTCATTAATCACTGTGCTTATCTTCTTTACCCGAATGACAGAAACAGCCACAGGTACCAAGCTTTTAAAATCCTGGCAGTGATCGGCTGCCACCCTGTGGAAGGAATTCCCGTCCCTTCAGCGCTGCCTGTGGAACGGCACTGCCACCACCGGGTCACCCTGACAGAGCCCAGGGCTCACAGCAGCCCCGGGAACCCCTCCTCTGGCAGGTGCTGAGCTTCATCATTCAAGTGATGATGGCTCTAATGAGACCCTTCAGGTAACGCCTTCAGAGCTGTGTTTTAACCTCTGGAAAAAATGCCTGCTGCTAAAATTACCTACCGATAATCAAAACCTTCAGAAAGAGCATAGAGCACTCTTTGTCCAGCACCTGCTGAACTCAAAATGAGAGACCAGCCACTCCTCCCTCACCAACATCACTTTGCACAGCTCACAGCTGACACCCAAGGTTAGCTATTACATACCAAGATGTGCTGTTAAATATAGTTCACACATCCTTTCCTCTGCCAGAAGAAGCAATAAAGTTTTACCACTTACTGTAGTCTAATAAAAATCCTTCTTGAACAGTTTTATTTGAAGAGCTACAGTTGTGAAAATGCTTCCAGAGTTCTCCTTGTTTTGAAAATGACAGTAGCTAAAAATGTGTGTTTGGAGTGTCAAAGGTTGAGAGAAGAGTGTGCAATGTCTTTACTGCAAATTTGCAATATTATTGCAAATATTATATATAATATTGCAAATTTGCAATATTATTGCCAATATTATTATTGCAGATTTGTTCACTGTGTGCTAACAGAGAATTTTCCTTTGAAATAGGATTATCAAATAGTGACATGCAAGCACTACATCCTGAGTCTGACACTCCTGGACAATCACATATACTGTGTCCCCTAAGCACAATTTCTGGAATCACAGATATCTCCCCTTACCAGTAGCACAGGTGACTCTGCAAAGCAAACAGGTACTCATTGAAGCTTTCTATTGGTTTCTCTTGTAGAACATAATCAATGCGACGCCCTCCATTCAGCATCCCAACCTTCACTGAAACATCTTCGTCTTTTGGAGGGTCTGGACTTTCAGTGATCTTCTCAGCTAAAATCAAAGAGTTTCACATTTAAACTATTTTCAAGCACAGCCTGCTTGACTATAATTAAGCAATATATTCAGAAGGATTTAAAATTACCAACTACAAGCAGAATGATGAAGTTCTGTTCAATAAACATCCCAATTACCAGGGGAAACAAGCCTGCTAGGTGAAATGCAATTAATACACAATTGACTTCTTACTGAATGGGTCAATGAATCCACCTAGATCAAAGTCAAAACAATAAGGAGCAACAGACCGTATTTTTCTCCTTTACTATACACACTTTTGGAGAGTTGTAACCTGAAACAAGTGTCTTGTGTAGTCTAGCAAAGCAGACTCACTCTAATGGACAAGTCCAAAGGACAGATGCTACAGAATCTCTCCAAGTGCCTGAACAGAGGCTTTCAGGAGGGCTCTGTGAACTTGCACAACAGCAAAACTGACTTTCCCTATTAGATGTGCAAAATTTAAGTAGAGCACCTTGGTCTGACGTGCACCCATGAGCAACAAAGTCAGTCCCTGCCCTCCGATGGCCACAGAACCTGCTTTTCCCTCAGGGTTCCCAACACTGAACCGACTCTGGTTAAACACATCATGGTGGTCATTAGGACACAAATAAATTTAGTTTCTATTGCACAGCTTCTTAGAAATGAAGGTGATCAAGCAATGTACAGCAGTGCTTTAATGGAACTTTGGTAATGAGAAGGTTAAATCTGGAGGAAACATGATTATTACTTTTGAATGGAATTGTGAATGCCAAACTAATGGGGCTGGGTGGAATCACCTCTGATGTCTGGAAAAATATGGAGTCAGATATCCAGGAATATTAATTAGTCTCTTAAAAGCTTACAATATTCTAATGCATCAAATGGGAAATAATGAATAGGATCCATATGAAATAAGTTTTCTTTTTACCCAGATGAAGTCTTTTTCTGCCTTTATGATGTGGAATGAGAACTGGTTTTAAATCCATGTCTTCAATGATCATTGGTTCTAACCTGTAAGCTACTGGATCAAGCTGTTGAGAGACAACACATTGACATTTAATTATCTTTAAAATTATCACATTTCAGTGAAAAAAAAATCCCTATTTATGGATTATAGACAACCATTTTTGAATTCTGCACTATTTGAATTTACAGAAATTCAGTTCATGACATATTAAGCAGGTTCATGAACTACCTTGGTCTTGTTCTCCTACAGAAAGAGATTCTAATGAGGAAACACAACAGCAAGATTTCCTTGCACTCAATCTCTATCAACATTAAATTGTTAAACAAAATGAGACAGAGGAGAGCAAACACTGCATGTAAAAATACAAATATTCCATAAAAATCTACAAGAGTGGCCTCAAATTAATGAAAAAAGCCCAAACAACTCCCCCCCCCAAAAAAACTTCCTTAATTCTGAAAAGAAACAAGGCAAATATTATGAAAACAACCCATGCCTGGAAGTGTTTTAGGAAATGTACACAGGGGAACAAGAGGTGTAATGCTCAGATGGTAGAACTTAGTATTCTGCCTTTTTTGTCATCTACATCGACTAAAATCAAATATCAAAAGCACTGCTACTCACTGGGTGATAGATATTGAAGAACCCCTTGCAGGTAGGGAGCCTGTAGTTTTCATCAATCTTCTCCACACCTCTCACAGTAAGGAACACACCAATAGGGGAACCAAGAGCAAAGAAAATATCTGGTTCAAAGTCCAGTGCACTGTAAACCACAGAAACCTACCAGGCAGAAATCAGACACATCATCTCTCAGAACTGTCAGCTTCAAAGGAAATAGCAAAATGTCATCAACATTAAAAAGAACTACAGTGAAACGAGAGGATTGATCAAATCCTTTAAATTGTTCAAATCATTTAGATCTGCACAGTCTCACCTGGCCAGTTCCAGCTTCAAAATACTCATAGTCAATGTTCACAGAAGACACAGATGCACCAACTGGGAGCTTCCTCTTTGTGTGCATCTGACCAGACTCTGAAGGTGAGACAGAAGAAACTGTCTCTTTTGATTTCTGGGTGTCTTCTTGAGTCTGGAGTGTGGCAGCCAGCACTGCTTTCTTTTCTGCTACTGCTTTCTTCTGTTCCTTTTGAGAAAAGTTTTAAAGTTAGGGAGAAAAAAGGTTTATTTCACAGCTGTCAAAATTCCTTTAATATATTCAGGATGTTGACAAGAGTGTTCAAGAATAGAAGCTAGTCCACAGCAAGCATTTGCTTAACAACTTTTAACTTCCATCCTGAAATATGTAATTACCTGCTTGGCTGCTCTGTCTTTTACAAAATTAGCTATTTTCTTTCTTGGTCCAAGAGGTATCCCCATCTCCTTCAGGTCATCAACTGTACACATGAGCTAAAGAAACAAACACCAAACACACACATAAAAATTATTTTTCTAGTAGAAAAAATACTTATAACTTTTCTAGTAAAATAAATAATTTCATACTAGCAATGACCTATGAATTTGTTAAGTCAATTTATAAAGCTACAGAAAATACAAAAAATTAACAAGACATGACACAAAGTGCCTAACATAACTGGGTGGATGCACCACATCAAGAAAAAAAAAAAAAAAGCTGCAGAACACTCAGTCTTCAAGCCATGCATTGATTATCTTATCTTTGCAACTGCTCTCCTGGCCACTGAGAGGAAAAACAAGACAAGAAGAAAACCCAAACATAAACCTCCAGTCCCTGGGCAGCCCCTACAGGTCCAGTGAAGATTTCAGTACCAGAGACTCCATGTCGATCCGCTCCTTTTCGAAGGTGCTCACGTACTCTGACAAACTGAGCATTTCCAGAGTCCTCTGCAGAGTGGGAACATCTTCCTCTGCTTCAGCCTCACAAAGGTCATCAGCAGACGTAGCAATGGAGGAGCCCAAGGAACTGGTATCTTCAGTCATCTCAACAAAACAGCACACAAACAGAATCACACCCTCTAACAGTGGAAAACCAGTAAGCAGCAAGCAAAACCAAGTTTAACTACTTTCTCTTAAAAACATTATCAGGCAAGCTCTGTAAATATATATCCATTTTTAGTGAAGCAGGATACACATTTGCCACTAAAATAGACCTGCAAAATAAATATTTTAAAATTACTATGAGAGATAAAACACTCAAAAATGCTTCCTTTTATTCCTCAAACAACTGGTCACCATTTCTAGTCTAAACACAGATTCTTTCCCTTTCATACATCTGCCCCATCATTTACTGCTAGACCAAGTTACATGTTCACAAGTGTCAAAGCTGATGTTCACCACCAAATCTCATTACTGGCCTACTTGAAACTTGAGAGAGCTAATAAATTTGTCCTGAGAAATGACAATATTTACAAAACAGCATCTTTCCATTAACATGTTTAAATGTACCATCAAAACCCACAAACTTGGTTCAGCTAACAAATTCTAAAAAAATCAGAAAAAAAAGACTGAAAATATCAGAGCTACAGGCCTGAAAAGACCAGCAAGCAAATTACCTGTTTATCATGAACGTCCTTCACACTCCCATTAACACCAGAGAATGGTCCAGAATTTACTGATGAAGCCAAGTCCTTCTGGTTAGACAATATGTCAAATAGAATTAAGGAACCTGCAAACAGGAATTAAGAGTCGATCTGGGAAAAATATCTGGTTTTCCTGTCCCTAAATCTTGAGAAAGATTTATATGCAACAGTAATGTCACGGTATAGTTCGATCAAGAGATGGCTGAATGAAAATACTCATATGTTAACTTGAACATAAAAAGCTAAAAGCAACCCCTTTTCTTCCCTGTTCATGCTTTATGTAGTTGCCATGACTAAACTATTTTTCCTTAAACTCCTAAGACTGATGAAGTGGAGGAAAAGTTCCAGTCCACACCAGTATGTCAATATTCTGCTCTAACACTTATTCTATATTCCAAAAAAATGATTGGATTTTTACGAAGTGGGGGCTCTGAGACACAGACATCACCTACCTAACCAGATAACCTGTTAACTTTTAAACACACATTAGACACTAAGTTTTCACGAAGGGAAGTACTAACTTTCTCTCAAAGCCAGATAAACTCAGCTGTTGAGAGGAGCTTGTCAGCTGTTTTCTGAAAGACAGCCATGCCCTAACAGCTAATTTGAGTTTTATGCATAACAAAGGGGCCATTTTCCTTTTAAGAGGAACTGATTTGGGATAAAAGCAGCATTCCTCAGACAATCACCTAAGCTGTGCCCAGCCACAGAGACTCCCCCTTTGAAGTCGGGGTTGCGGCTCATGAAGAGCGCGTACAGGCGGTTCATTTCCATGCCCACTTTATCCACGATGGTCTGGCAGTAGGTGGGGCTGTTGTAGAACAGGATGTCCAGCAGCGTTTCGTTGGTGAAGTGCCTCAGGCGACCAATGCTCGGCAAAGTGATTTTCTTTATGTTCCTGGTAACACAGAATCGTTAAAAGCATGAAAGGCTTTTAATAAATGCTCGCGAGAACCTTGTTAGCTTTTGAAATTAATGCAATGTAAATGCTACAGAGAGGGTCTCTAAAGAGATTTTAAAAACCCACAACCCAGCCTTCTGGCCTCGTTGCATATTCACACATTAATGCTACCTGCTGATTGTAATATTTGAGAAAGATACAGCTCCTTTTTTTCTCTCCAGGCAGAAGGGGTACCTGAAATAACCTCTTCTTTATTCCAACACTGCTCTCATAAAGTACCAGGGAAGTTTGGTGAGCAGATTGAAGTGGAAGAGAAAAAGGAACTTGCATATAAAATTAGAATCACAGAATGGTAATACTCTCTTTTTGAAGAAGAAGCTTGGCATCACCATCTGCCTGTCTGGAGTCAAGACAGCTGCACTGGAATTGCTATAGACTTCAGACTGCCTGGTTTGGTAACAGAACAAGGATCCCTCCTCATGCAGTGCCCAAATGCAAATAAAACACCAAGGCTGGAGGAAAGCAGTGTGATTTGACTGAGCTAAAACAGTCTGGAGAACATCAGCATCACTTTAAGAGGCACAGGTTGCCACTCTCACAATTTTCACTTCCCCAGCTTTGAGCAAGGGAAACAGCTTGAAATGTGAAGTCATAGCAAAGGGGTAGGCCCAGAAAAGGGATTTTAAAACAGATTTTAAATGCTGTAACAGTCTTACCCAAATACAGATACTTTGCTTTAAAAAAGAACCCCTTAGCTCAAGTGCCTAATCATAATTCAGGCACTCCTCTAGGACTGGACCGAGGGCTCAGTGCCTTCCTCAGAAATAACTGCTAGGGTGAAACTCAATCAGATTGCAGGAAAGTAAAGAATAGACAACTCTCCACTCTGAACTGTGCACACCTCATGGACAGAACATCTCCAGGTTCACCACCTCATCCTTGTGACCACAATCTCCACACACTCACTCATCAAGTATCATGCATTGGCCACTCTCATGCAAATCCAGTACTGAAAAGTTGTGTGCAAGAAAATAAACACGAGAAATACTCCTCACACCCTTCTAGCTTTCCAAATACTCCTCGTCAAAATGTTAATTTAAAAAAATCTGCAATTCTCTAATCCAGTCATACATTTGCTCATGCAACCTGCAGAACATATGAACTTCTTTTTTTTTCCACTTTCCATAACCCATTGAACAGCAGCTTTTAAGATGTTTTCAACATTAAACAACACCCTCACCTGTCTACACCAGTTGCATCTCCATGCAGAGAACTGTGCCAGTGAACTGGAAGGAATTCCACCCTGCTCACTTTGCGTTCCTCCAAACACTTCTTAAAGTGAGTCTGCAACAACTTCAGAGAAACAGTCCTAAAATCATCAACTGTGAAGAAAAAGAATAATGAAAATCTGATAGCTGCAGTACTCAAGTAACAAATAAACAGTCCCTCCTTCCCCTTAATTTCACAGATAGTCAGAAAACAAATGACTGAAAGAGGAAAAATCTTTCCAAGTATTACAATTCTAACAATAAGAAAGTACTCATTTTTGTTAGAGTGGATTTTTTAGCAAGCTTCTATTGAAGATTGCTAAAAAATGTCTCATAATGACTGCCTGTTCACTCCATAACCAGACAGGGCTTTTTTAATTTACTCAGTTGTACCAGAGTGTATTTAAAAAATTTTAAAAAAAGCAAACACACAAACCGCACAAAGCAAACACATCCACTCACACCACAAAAAGAAAAAAAACTGATCAACTAAAAAACCCCCTTCACCACACATCCCAAAACTCAAATCACCCTGCAAGTGAGATATTGAGAACTAGTAATAACAGCTAAAGCTTCAATTTTGACAAAACACAGATTCTGACTTTGGAAAATAATCATGAAAAAATTGAACTTCTTAACATTAGAGACTTTTCTTTAAAAAAAAAATAAAAAAAAAAAAAAACGTGCTTATCTGAATATGAGCTAGAGAGAGCCACATTTAAACAGCAAGAATACAACTGCTCATTATACAAGCCCAAACTTACCACATTCAACAATGCTTCTAAACCTCAAGTCACATACAGGACCTATGCCATGAACCATAAATACCAGATGGTCAATTTGGGACATTTCTCCTGTAGAAAAAAAACAAAAAGGAAAACATTCAGAGTACCAGTATGTACAGCAGGAGTAAAGTTCAGAGTCTAGCAAGTGTAATACACACTTGTTGAAGTGTAATATCACATAACATGGTTCAGGACATAACAGAGCTCACAGGACTCCTTTGATTAAAACACCCCAAAACAAGATAACCTCAGTGAGATGAAGGAATAACTTTACTCTTTAGACTCCAGGCATGAACAGCACACAGCCACTCCACCCACCATTGTCCAGCTTCTGCACAGATCCAAACTGACTGCTCCCAGTGCAGACCCAAGTGCACCAGGAATCTCATCACCTACCATCAGGAATCTCATCATGGTCATCATCAATTCCACGTTTCACTACCCTTGGCCTTGCCTGCCCATCTTGAGTGGTGCCCCATTCGTCTGGTGTGGTAGAAGGCTGGAACTGAACTATGACCTGTAACAAATACAGCATCCAATTCCAACCACAGAAAACCCTCATGACTCATACTGTTAGTGTGAAAGCACTGCATAGCTCAACATACTTTTTGATTGCTTTACCTTTAAACTGAAAATCAAATGTTTTCTTCCACAAAATCCTCATTAGTGTGAAAAGCAAACTGATGACTCAAAGTAAGCTCTAGGTGAAGAAGCTGGGCCTGCTCAGTGATTCTGAACCATTTTAACTCCCCAGCCAAGCATAATTCAAGCTCCTCCTTCCTAGTCTCCAGTATCCACTCTTAGCAGGTTATTGCTAATGTGAAGAAATTGAATGCTACCTGATTTACAATAACTCTATCACAAGGAGAAAATGGAAAAAAAAAAAAAGTGCAGTGCTTTTCAGGGAAAGACAACAGCATCTGAAGTAGTCCAGAAACTCTAAAAAGTGAGTAATTGAGTAGTACAGCTTAACTACAGTAAGTGTAGGCCTTACAGTCTGAGCTCGTATTTATGACATGAAGGGATTTAAATGCTCCTTCTCTAGATTTTTACGGGACAGAATTCCCTAACCAGGATTATTAAACACTTTAAGCAGGAGCAACCATTAATCTGTCCCTTGGATAGTTCTGTGTATTAATTACTGCATCTGTGATAAGTGAACAGTTAACAGTATTGATCAATAAGGCTGAAGTCCATGTTTTAATCACATGAGACTGTTCACAGAGTATTTAGAATAACTTTTAAATCTTGTCCTGCTATACTTTCTCATGGCCTGAAAATAAGCAGAAACCTTCTCAGGCCTTAAAGCAACTAATTACCTTATAGCTAGATTAATGCTCTTCTCTACATGAAAGCTCTTTGGTACAGACTAAAGTTAAACTAATTCAAATTGCTGACCATTTGCTGCCAGTTATCCTTAGCCAAAATATTTACTATGCAAACCCTTATTCGCTTTAGGTTTCAGAAAGCACTGTCTTTTAACCACATGACAGCACATTGAAGCAAGCACAAGTTCAGTGTTCTGTAAACTTGATCATCTTTAATGCACACACACCTAGAACAAACAACTGGTATGTTTCATGCAAGATTAAGAGCACATTCAATTTATGCTTCCATCCATTTGCTCACTCCCCCTTAATGAATCCTGCAAGACACAATTGCCAAAATCTATTACCTTGGGATTATGCATAACAATTGTCTCCCCATTTGGAAATTCAAGTCGTCGATGCCATTGATTGGTAGTTACAGCCCTTTTATATTCTGCCTGAAACAGAAAACAAGTTACACAAAATCAGCATGGCAACCTTCTCAGTATTTGGTGGTCTCATGTAATGCTACAGTTAAAATTTACATAACTTTCTTTATATAAAAATGTCACACGTAGAACTACACAAGCAGATTTTAGATCACAGCAGTGCAGGACTGAACGCAGGAGCAATGTGGCCTTCTAGACACTCCTCTTTCCAGGATTTGCTTATGTGCCAGAAAGCACACTCTGCAAATCATCTTCATGAAACAGAAAGAATTGTTTCTAAGGTGATTAACACAATGAAGTAACAAGGTCTCTGCGACTTACTAACCTCCAACTTGTCACTGAAGTCCTCAGTGTAAGGGATGAAGCGGCTGTCCTTGTCTCCCTTGTAGAACCACAGGCAGCGCCGCACTTCCGAGGGCTCCTCGTCCCAGTACACGGCTTTCCTCACGCGCTCGTACAGGAACACGTCGTAGCGGCCGCCGTCCGTGCTCAGCACCACGCTCTCGGGGTCAGGCTGGACTGGGACACACAGCCACACGTGCTCACCACACTGACACTGCTCTGCTCTGCTCAGCACCACGCTCTCAGGGTCAGGCTGGACTGGGACACACAGCCACACGTGCTCACCACACTGACACTGCTCTGTCCGTGCTCAGCACCACGCTCTCGGGGTCAGGCTGCACTGGGACACACAGCCACACGTGCTCACCACACTGACACTGCTCTGTGCTCAGCACCACGCTCTCGGGGTCAGGCTGGACTGGGACACACAGCCACACGTGCTCACCACACTGACACTGCTCTGCTCTGCTCTGTCTGTGCTCAGCACCACGCTCTCGGGGTCAGGCTGGACTGGGACACACAGCCACACGTGCTCACCACACTGACACTGCTCTGCTCTCTCAGCCCAGCCCCAGCCACTCCTGTGATCAATATTAGGCCATTAGGACTGAAAGTCACACCATGGCAGAGAAGCGTTGTAACACTGTGATGCTTCTAGAATGCTTCTATATGCTCTGTACACAACAAAACACTTGGAAAAACTTCTAAATATGAATACTCATTCCAGAACTCATAGTTTAACAAAAAGGCAAGCCAAGACACAAGTAACGAGGAGTTCTATATGAAAATCTGATATCTATTTGGGTATATATATTTATATATACATATATATACCCAAATAATCTCAACTCTGACAGCATCAAGCAGTGATGATGTCAGTGAAATAAATTAAGTGGCACAAAACTCATCTTCCAAACATTACTTATTACTGCCACATACATGAGTGGCATTACCCCAATATCTTCCTTCAGTCCTTCTGCTCACCTCTGGATAAGACAGGACTTACCAGAATTATAGACCTCCTCTAGTCTTGCAGAATCCAGAATGCTGAATGGCATCCATATTTGCTTGTCCTCCACCTCCTTACAGTAGAACCAGTGGGGCTGAACTGGCTCATATTGGTTCTGCAGCAGCACAGGAGGGGCTGGGACCAGGGGCCCTGCAGGCCTGGCAGGCTGGAGCTGGGACTGGGACGGTGGGAACTGGAAAGAGATGGGCTCAGCACCTCAGTCTCACAGGGTTTTTGCAGAACTCTTCTATACTTTGCTATAGGGAATACTCTCAACCTTTATTTCTAACTTGTTTTCCTCCCCAAGAACATTACCTTCCATTCTAAAAATATTGTACACTTCATCATGTGTTTGAGAACTTACACCTTCTCAAACTGAGAAAGAATGTGAATTTCATTACCACAAACACTGTTAAAAACTGCCATGGTTTAGCATCATCATTATCTAAAAATCAGTGAGATTTCAATATTCTCTTAAATTTTCAAAACTTGAGGTGAACTTGTTTCTTACAACCACAAAATTTGACATGAAAATAAAAACATTTTTCACATTGTTCATTTACATATAATTATGCTTTTGCATAAAGACTCCTGATTTTAACAAGTGGCCACGTCAGCAATAGCTCTTTTACTGCAAAGTGACTAGAACAGGCAGATTCCAAACTCAAATGAAGCATCAGTGGTACAAGAAAAGGAACTGATTTTGAAAGGGTCTACAGGCTTCATAAAGATGATTTCATACAAATTTTACAAAAAACCCAGTCAGTACAACTAAAAGCAGCTGACGTCAGCAGTAGCAAATGCCTTGGCTGATGATACATTTAAAGGGAAAAAAAAGAGCACCAAAATATTGTACAATATATAAAATCCAATAAACAGAAGTTCTGAAATTATACAGTCTAAAACTCCAGACTGTTTAGGTTCTATTGCCTTTGCTATGTTTTATATAACCTTCACATTCTTTATTCATGATAACAGAAATATAACAATAGCTCAAGCAAAAATAAAAACAGTTTTTGCTATTTTCAAGGCAAACGTGCCAGGTTTTATTAACCCATTGGCATTACTTTAATAATGCTTTTGTGCAGGTAGAAAATAATGAAGATTATTGCTTTATAGCACACAAAATCCTCAAACAATTTGTTTCAAAGAATTTGCTGACAATTTTTATGTGACTTAATTTCAAAAAATTCTGGCTTCACCGACAAAACCAGCTTAAAAAGAGATTTTAGCCCGTATCTTTGAAATAGCTGAATGACCTGATTTAAAGCTGAGGCACAAAAAATGCAGCAGCACAGCTGAAACTCAGCAAACTCAGAAACCCACAGAAAAGAGCAACAGAACTTCACAACCTGATTTTGTTTCCGATGCCCAGAGGCTCACAGAGCTACAGCCTCTGAGGGTACACTCACTTCAAAGACCAGGAAGTTTTCCTGGAACAACAGTTCCAATCTACTTGGAACTGTGAAAAGTGAAAAGCTTTTGCTGCTATAAAGGGTTCAAGACTTCTTCCGGGGTTTTTTGCAGAGAAGAAAAATCTTCAAAAGATAAAACACACCGCTGAAAGAGGGAAGGGACTTGATTTGCTGTGGCAGCCAGAAGGAGTCACATACCTGTGTCAGCGGCCCCGGGGGTGTCTGGTACATCTGCACGGGTGGCACGGGGGACGCTGTGGCAGGGGGGTGGCTCTGCTGCAGCTGGGGGGGGGTGAGGTAAGGGTTGGCCCTGCTGCTCAGGGTGGTGTGCCTGTAGGGGTTGTAGCCCTGCTGCTGTGGGGTGCCCACGGGCAGGGCAGTGCTGGCAGGTGGGGGACAGCTCTGCTGAGGGGGCTGGTAAGGCGCCATTCCCACCTGGGAAGTGGGTGGGGCACCATAAGACTGGGATTTGGGAATATGTGGTGAAAAGGCATTTTGCCCATCCTGGGAGCCAGACACGAGTGGAAGTGAAGTGGGAGGTCTGGAGAAGGCTGGTGCTCCCACAGGTGTTGAAACAGTTGTTAAGGGTGGCTGCCCAATACTCCCAAAGGGATCACTGCTGCTGGGAACTTGAGAGAAGTAGCTGAAAGTCTGTGGTGGGTTGGGGCTGGCTGATGTCTGACCCAAGAAGCTGTCCTCTTCCCCAACGTCCGCAGAATCATCTGCAAAAACAAATGGATCACCAGAGATCTTGTGAGCTTCAAATCACTGCATGGGGTCAAAATTTTCTGTAATACCATCAGCTAGGGCCAAAACTGTTGGCCCCCATAAAGCTTACACATCCTTGATTCAGCACATCATAAAATGAAACAAAATATCTCAAGTCTTCAAGAACATTTTTAAAAAGTCATGAAAGTCACGCAGTGTACGCAGAAAAGGCAACAAATATTAAATAAGAAACCAAAATATAACTGGAGTCGGGACCTTCCCAGGGCAATCTGGCAGGCACTAAAATCCCTTCCAACTTCACTCATCCCTCAAATGCAAGAACAACCTTGGCTCATATCCTTTCACCATGAAAACATCTACTAAGCATAGGACTTTATGCTCCTATGCTCCTTTTAGGACAGAGCTTAAAAACATTCCTAAACAGGCCAAACTTACAGGTTAAACCATCCATTCTTGCCTGCTCCTTCAGCAGAGCCCTCTCAAGGTTTCTCATCTGACTTGCAAGCTGGCTATAACTCATGATCCCAAGCCACTTAATGAGCAGGACATAGTCCAGTTCTCCATACTCGAGACTTGCATAAAAGCCTGATGCAGAAAAATCAGTCCCCATTCTGCATAAGTGCAGGAGAGGATTTAAAAAGATGCAAGGCCATGAATGCCCTTTCACACGGAGAAAATAAATAAAAGAGGTCCTGATCAAACACAGTTTTCTACTTTGTTTTCTAGGAACAAGTGGGAAAAAATAAAGTTTGTCATGATTTGAGGTCTCACCATAAGCTCACCTCAGGCTGTGCTGGCCTGAGCAGCACTGCCTCCTGAGGGAACAGGAGTCAGTGCCACCTGCAGAAACCAGCAGTGAAACATTGGCAATCAAATGAGCCCAGGCTGTGGGGAAGACACCACAGAGCATCTCTGCTGCTCAGTCCCCAGGCAGAGTCCCTGCAGCTGTGAGCAGCCAACAACAAATGCCTTTATCCACAGCCAACACAAGTGTAATAGGGAGCACCAAGGGAGTACAGGGGAATCCACAGAGCAGTCTCCCTAGGAAGCTGCTGTTCTAATTAATTAATCATCAAAGAGGCAGCTGCCAAGATTAAGAAGAACTATTTTAACCATCTTTTATTTAGTCTGTGCACACGGTGTCAATTTGAGGCATCATCTGCCTCAAATTCCTCCTGCTTTCCCTTACAGCACTTGATCCCACTTTGAGGAACAAAGCCAAAATCTCTGTGTGGAGAATGCTGAAATCACTCTGACCCAATGACCACTCTGAAGTCAGGCCTGGGGATCATCTCCCAGCTGCAAGCAGTAGCCATTTCTATTCAATAAAAGGTCTCAGCTTCTAAACAATAAAATCCACCTTCCTTTCACATTTCATTAACAGTGTGGGACAGAGAGAAGCACACTGCAAACCACACTATCAACTCTCAGCTTTCCCAAACAATTGGCAGCAGAGCAGGTTTCACCTCACCCTGTCAGGCCACCACAAACATGCAGCAGTGGTGAGAGCTCTCAGGGCCTTCAGCAAATGAATGTTCACAAAACACCCACTATTCTCCAGTTTCAAACAGGTTTTGGGGATTTAAGCCTAAGTGTGGCTTTCCCTGCAAAATGAGGGTGACAAAAGTTCTGCCTAAAAAAAACCCTATAGCTATATATGTACACACATGCAGTTTTTCAACACAAAACATTATTGTTTATCTTGACTTTTCCTAATTTTGCAAAAAACTATGTTGTAAAAACAAGCACGTCATACAAATGTAAAAAAATGAGTGTACAGCTTTGATGTGTGTTCTCCCCACACACAGAACAGTCTTTCTTCACCTGTGACTGTGTCAAGCTCCTGTACATCCCTCCCCACACGGGGCAGAGCTTTGTCATTCACAGACTGTCACCAGACAACCACAAGTGACATCAGTCCCCGTTCTCACTGGGAACACTCCTCCCACCTTACAGTAAATATATTGGTTACATCACCCACACCTGAGCCAGAGAATACATCTTATTGTCAAACTGCATTGCTCAAACCACTAACTAATCACTCTTGGAGACAGGTAAACAAATGAATGACTGCACACAGCTCCCTAATGGTGGCTGTCAGGTGTCAAACAAATCCCTGGATTGATTCTTATTACATTTTACACAATTTAAAATTATGATTACAAGTACAAAATATTCCACTCAGCAAGAAGATCCCAACAACACCTGGCTGGACAGATGGTGAGTTCACTTGACTGTGGAAACAGAACATTTAACAGGACATGGGTCTTACTTGGACTGACACAGAATGGGGCACAACTCTGACACTGAAAATTCCTCCAGCTGCAAGACCATGAATCCTCACATGATCAAATTTTAAGTCATATGGAGAGAATAAGATCACCACATTAATCAAATCCCATCAGATTTTATCCTCAGTGTTCAGGAAATTGCCAGGACAGCCATTTGTGTAAAGCTACCAGCCAGATCAGCACTTAAAAACTGTTTTACTTTCTTAATGAAAAAATAATGGATATTTGCATGAAAGAAAAACTATGAGATTGCACAAAGGAATTAGTAAATGTATCGACGATCTAGATACCTCAAGTAAGCAGAAGTAATATTTTAATGCTTTTATCCCTCCTATCCAAAAAATGTAGTTGATCTAAAAAACTATTCCAAAGCCATACGTGGCAAATATTTTATTAAATCTACAGAGAAGTACTGCTCTGATTTCCAGCCATATTAATACTTACTTTAGCTAAGATACAGCAGTGCTGAAATGAAGTCTTGAAGACTCAGCATAAAACAGTTTGGGTTAAAAGGGACCTTCAAAGGTCATTAGTCCAATCCCAACATGTACAATACAGTAATGTTTGAAATATCTGGTTTCTGCATTCCTAATGTTTCAAGCTTTAACCTCTGACTGAACACATTCCCAAAAAAATCCATTCCTTTATCTGAAACTGCCCGAACACCAGATTTTAAATTACACGCACAAGTGTTGGGAACACCATTAAAGCTTTAGGAGAAAAGGATATTAGAACCAGGATTAAATTAGCAAGGATATTTAAAGTGGCTGCTTAACGTGCTATTTTCAAACGGGGAACCCAGAAGATAACATGAGATAGGGGCTTTAAAAAAGCGAAAACATTCAGTACGCACTGAATGGAAGCACTGCCGCGTCGCTGAGCTGGAAGCGCGACGATCAGCCCCGTCCTCAGACACAGCGCTAAAACCCGCACACACAAGCATTAAGCAGCGGGAAGTAGAAGAAATTAAGTGCCGGAAAGCGGAAAATGTAATCCCGAGCAGCGCCTCTCCTGAGGCACCGCCAGGGACACCCGGCTCGGGGAGCCCCAGCGCCGGGTCCAGCCCACACGGACCGGGCCCCCCCGGCCCGCAGCCCCCCTTGGAGCCCCGGTTCGGCTCTGGGGACTCCCCCGGCCCCACCGCCCCTTCCCGGCGGCGGCGGCACCCGGCGGGACCCCTCACATCCCCTGCGCTCCCGGCTGCCCTCCCTCCCGGTCTCCCTCTCTCCGTACCGGCGGGCAGCAGCGCGGGGCCGGGCGGCGCGGCCGGCGCTTGGCTGACGGGGATGAAGGGCACGTTGAAGCTGAACTCGGTGGCGGAGGACGAGAAGAGCAGGTTGGTGCCGGTGCCTCCCCCGGGCTTCGCCGCCGCCATAGCCGCGCCCCGGCCACGTCCCTGTCCCGGCCCCTTCCGCCCTCACGCAAGATGGCGGCGGCGGCCGCGCGCAGCCGTGAGGGGCGGGAGGCGGGCCCGGCCGCCATTCCCGCAGGAAGAGGCGGAGGAGGGCAGAGAGGAGGAGGAGGAAGCGGCGGTGATCCCCGCGCTGGGCTAGCGAGCGGGGCTCGGCGGCCGCAGGGTGCCGGCAGTCCCGCGGCGAGGCGCGACGCCGCCATGCCGTGCGTGGGCGACTGGCTGAACAGCCCCCTGAGCATCGTGCAGGGCATCTTCGGTGAGGCGGGGCCCGCGTCCCCGGGCGGCTGCGGGAGCGCCCGGAACCGGACGGCGCTTTCCCTCGTGGGGTGGTGGCGGGGGAGCGGGGAGGCCGCCTCTGTGTCTTATATATCTGTTTTATATCTTATATGTCTCGTGTACAGCGTGTGTTTTGTGCGTCTCTGGGTTCCGGCAGTAACGCGTGCTGTCTGCCCGCGCTGCTGGTGTTAGCAGCGCTATCAGCCGCGGCTGTTTCCGTGCTGGGCTTGAGCTCAACTAAAAGAATACCGACATTAAAATTGCCGACACGGCGGGGAAAGCGGTGCCTCGGCTCCTGCCCTTCCCCACTGGGATGTTGCGGAGCTTTCCCTCGCTCCCAGGAATGGCTCTGTGCTTCTTCATCGGCCTGGAAGGGTTTGAAATGGGAAGTCAGTGAACTGCAAGGGGAATAAATTAGTCTGAGATGCACTTACTTCCCTAAGATAGAAGTGAAAGTTGGGTTTGTTTGATGTGCTGGGAGAAAGTTGGGTAAAAGTCTCTGATGTGGTGGTAATGGGCACATCGATATGTTGTTTTTTTGTAGCCCAAAATGCTCCCAACTCTGACTGGGAGAAGAAGGTAACCGAATACTTCAAGGAGAAATTAAAAGAAAACAATGCTACTAACTGGGTAAGAATATTTTATTCTTTTCGAGTTACACTTTTTCTTAAGCTTTGTTATTTTTTACACTTTATTGCAGTGGCTTGCTTTTGATAAGTCCTGCCTTTTCATGATAAGTGTGCAGCTGAATTTCAGTCCCAGGCTTTGGGATGTGGAATTTGCACCTCGGCTGCCTTAACCTGAGTGCAAAGCCAGGATGTGAAATCCCAGCCCGTCCATCCCCTTGCCTTCAGCACCCTCCTTCCCCCAGGCCATCGCTGCTGGCTGCTGCCACTCTGTAGCACAGTCAGTAGATGGCATGAGATTACAAATATTGTCATTTTTGGGGAAGTGTGAGTCCTCACTGTGCACCACAGGCTGCTGGTTATAAACCTCTTCTCCCAGGAGCTTTTATCACAATGCTGCAAACTTGTGTGGGTTGAATAAATAGTTGCCTGGACCTTCAGGTTTTAAGGAAAAAACACTTTTCCTACTAAAACTGAGCTGGGTCAGGCCTGGTTTGTGCAGTTTAGCAGGGAAGCTGTGCTTTAGGTTTTAAAAATAAAGTGTGCACAGTTGAGTTCAAAAGCTGATGCTTTTCTAAAAGGCTGTAGCAGAAATGACATAATGGGACTGATAAGGGGATTAAAAGCTTTCAGATCAAATGTGTTCTACCTGTCACTAAAAACAGGTGAAAATTCTTTTTCTTTCTCTGTGAAAATATTCTGTATTTGGTATTAAATGGTTGCCTAAATCAAAGCATTGATGGCAAAATTGAGTCAAATTTACAACATCAGAAGGAATTGAAGTCATATTTTCTTACTCAAAAAAAACAGGAGGGGATACACTTTTGTTAAAATGCCACTTCCTATAAGGCCACTTATGGTTTTTGTTGCATTTTAATGTTGGATGTGTGCTTTTTCAACAAATATTTTCTCTTCAGATTTAGAAAACCCTATTCATATTGCAAGTTCTTTGAAGTTATACCATGTGCTTAGGCATTGATTTTTTTTTTCTTTCTATTTTCCCATTGTCATGTAAAACTGTGTGGAAAAGACTTCCCCAGTGTTGACTTGGAAATTAACATACAGGTTTTTCAGGACCTTTTGTTATAAGAAATTGTGCATGCAAATTGCTTTAGTACTGCTGGTATATAGCACATGGTGGAAGTGCTGTTAAGTAGAAATAAGATAAATAATAAATTCTGTTTAATCCTGCAGCTGCAATAATTCTAAATTTAAAAGTTGGTTTCAAATGTTGTAAAGTTTTCATGCAGTTCCAGTGACCTATAACCACTTCTTTCATAGTCCAGTGATTGGGACTGGAAGAATTTGGGAACTGTTAAGTGCCTGAGAATTGTAACAATTATCTGTAACAGCCATTGCTGGAAGATGTTGAGTTAGATACACTTTGTTACTGCTTAAATTAGGATGGGAGATGCACTCAGAAAATATTAAGTGTGCTATGAATACAGGGGTTTGAGGAGGAGGATATACTGGATGGTCAGAAAATTAAGTTTTTGTGCTGCTTTTGGCTCACTTCAGGGCACTGCTCAGTATATACCAGTTGTATAGAACAATCTGCTTTTTCACAGGTCCCATCACTGAATGATGTTCCTGTACATTACCTAAAACCCAACAGCTTAGTGAAATTTCGCTGCATGGTTCAAGATATGTTTGATCCTGAGTTTTACATGGGAGTGTATGAAACAGTTGACCCAAACACAAATGCACGCGTAAGTGAAATACTGAGTTACTGTTTTAGCAAATGTTTGTCATTTTACTCGTTCTGGTCCTTGTATTTGTCTAGTTTGTGAGTTAAACCTATGAAGTGTGGACACTGATAGTAACTGTGTTCAGCTCAAGTGGCATCAGTAAAACATAACCTGTTACATTTCTGTGGAGGAATAGAAAATGTTGAAATGATGAAAGGTTTGGCAGGATGTCTGTGAGGGACTTTGGGCTTCACTGATTTTGGTGTGATTCGTGTTAAGGATGCTTTCAAAAACAGAATGATTGCATTGCCTTTTCCCTCTTGACAGGTTTTGCATTTTGGTAAATACAGAGATGTGGCAGAATGTGGGGTAAGTTATATAAATTATACAAACTTAGAGAAGAAATATTGGAATGGAAAGTTGTAGTTTTATGTGTGACAGAGCTTCTTTGGTACTTGGAAATGGATTCCTGAAGATACTCTAAATACAAAGTTAATCTTTGGTTTGGAAAGCAGAGTATTCATAACTGCTCACTGGCATTCTAATTTCAGCAGGCTTCCAGCTGTTTCTGTTGTATTTAAAATTTGTTTTGGTTGAGTGGAGGGGGGAATGCGCATGATCTTGAAACTGTCTGCTATGGAAAACAGTTACTTTTAGTAGTGCAGTGCAGTTTGAATCAAAACATTGTATATCCACTTTTTCCTGAGTTATGTAGTCTTACATGTTAATTGTAACTTCTGGCTGAGTAACTGAATCTGTGGTGTTAGTTTAAAAAAAGAAAACAAACTGTAATCAGTTTTTTAACAAAATTTCTCTTGGGATTCCAGCCTCAGCAGGAAATTGATTTGAACTCCACACAAACAGTCACCTTGGAGAGACAGACTTTCTACTGTGTTCCAGTGCCTGGTGAATCAGCATGGGTGAAGGAAATATCTTTTTTGACTGAGCCAGTATTTTGTTATACAATCAGTGGTCACCAGCTAATTAATTAGATTTAAGGAGATAACTTTTTTTTTTCTTTTAGTGAATCTGAAGAGGTGACAGGTGTAGAAAGAGGAAAAAAAAAGTTGATGATGTGCAATATGCACAAAGAGAATGTAAATTAATTTAGGAGCATTTGTTTTGATTTAGTGGGCATTTTTGCTTGGGAGAGTCTTGAAAATTTCTGTTAATTTCTAGTTGCAAATGCTTAGGAAAAGGGAAACTTCAGTTGAGCCACTGGCATTTTCTACAGCAGGACACCTACACAGTGAGCCTCTCCTATAAAACACATGAAGCTGCGCAGGTTAAGATTAGGATTTTGTTTAAAAAAACCAACAGCTAAACCTTAGTGTGGTTGAGTTTTCCCTGCTCAGTGTGTGCCTTCCTTAACCCTTGATCCCACGCCTACATCAGTGCCAGCCAGGCCCGAGTGAGCCCCTCCACCTCCTACACCCCCAGTCGCCACAAGAGGAGCTATGAGGAGGATGAGGACATGGATCTGCATCCCTCCAAGCAGAAGGAGCAGCACATGGGTAAGAGTTGCTGGTGGTGAATGGTTGTTCTGATATCTTTCCAGGATTTGGCAAAAATTCATTGCTAAAAACTGAAATATTGGCAGCTGATTTCATTGTTCTTGTTGTTGCAGCCTTTAGGATTTGGAGGCTTTGTTGAAGTCAGCGGTTTGGTGTGAAGGAGTGTGGGAGAGCCTATAGCATAATGTGTGTTGTATGACTTGCTGACAATCTACAGAGATTTTTAATATAAACTGGGTTTTATGTATATTCTGACCTGTTTTTTTTGAACATGAAGTGCAGGAAAATATTACTTTTGTAATTCTATGGACTGTAGGGGAAAAAAAATCATTCCCCTGGTTTAAACATTGCATTTTCAAAATAGATTTCTGGCCATGTTTGGATTTCCAAGACACGTAGATCTTTGCCAGTACTCTCTCTCACACTTAACTTGATTACATAAAGTATGTACTTCTGAGACTTCTCATATTAAGAGTATATTCTGTCAAGTATATTGCATTATTAAATATTCTTGTCTCAGATGTCTTGTTAAATTAGTTTTATTCTGTGTTGCTCACTGAAGAAAGTTGTTCAGTTCTGCATTTCTGTTTAAAAAGCCTGCAAATCCTGTTTTTTCAGGCAGTGGAGGTGATATCCATGGGTGTGTGGAGCCAAAGAGATTAGAAACAGAAGCTTCTGCAGGTCATCATGTCATTTCTCCCAACTGCTCCCCTCCACTTGACCTAAATTTCCCCTTGCCAGGAGAGAAGGGACCAGCATGTCTTGTAAAGGTGAGAGATGGAGAGGTGACGAGCAGGGCTGTGCTCTCTGTGAGCTAGACAGAATCAGCCTTGCGCTAGTTTGTAGGCAAGAAATTGTGTCTCAACTCCAGACTTTTGTTTCTAGAGATAATTACATTCTTTCTCTTCACAAACACAGTGTTTCTCTTCTTG